CTTAATATAAAAGTAGGAATTAAATTCCTTCCTCTCAAAATAGGTACCATATTATTACCACACGTTATCCTGAATTCTAAGTAACAATGAAAGTAATTCAAAATAAAACAATCAGTTATCACTGAGTAAAAAGTAGACGACAAAGTGTCAGATTACTTGAAAATATAATAAAACACCTATTTAGTACTTTAGATAATACATGTAACAAATGAATATAATAGATGTTTACAAAAAGTAACTCTATGTACTCTAATTCTATTCTTCCAAATCTAAGAGCTAATATGTTTATATTCCAGTCATTTTATTCTGGGTTAAAATAACGTATTAAAATTATTGTGATGATTTTTTTCAATGTATGTAACATAAAAATACATGCTAGGGTCAATAAAATTAGTTATCATTGCCACAGCCTTCTTTACAATGAGAAGCATGATAGCTTTCTAATATATTCTGTTTGAGGTTTTAAACAAAAGTTTTAAAAATAACTGAAGTTGTAAACAAAGTAAAACTGCTAATGCATTACTTTCAATTTGTGTTAACACCATTCTGCAATCAATGGCTTTAAGCTACACTTTCAACTTGCATCTTAAATTTGATCTAATCTTTAAAATCTGAATAGTTCCCATTAATACTTTTACAAAAACTACTTTCCTTTTCCTTTTCCAAGATCTCCAGCTCTAAAGGAATCCTAACAAATGGCAACACTGCCACCTAGTGCTTTAGGATGATTTCTCAGATGTTAGATGTAGCAGAGGATCTACTAAATTCTTTTCCAATAGTCACTGTGGCTAGTAACTAATTAAAAGGTGACTGCTTGAAATTAAAATGTACTTTAAGGTTGGCAGGAATTTGAGGCCAGCTTAAACTGCTTGGGAAAATATATACATTCCATTAATATTATTTAAAGTTTTGACTGTTATCCTGAAAATATTTTAGATGTATTGAGTTAAATAAAATATTGTATTTCATGATTGTAATATCTTCTTGATTGATTGTTCCTTTGATCAAAATGAAATAGCCCTCTTTGTCTTTTCTGGTTAGTTTCAGTTTAAAGTCTATTTTGTCCGATATTAGGATTGCTACGCCTGCTTTTTTCTTAGTGCCATTTGCTTGGTATATTTTGTTCCATCCTTTCACTTTGAGATAGTGTCTGTCCTTGAAAGTGAGATGAGTTTCTTGCAGACAACAAAAAGATGGGTTTTGATTCTTAATCCATTCATATAGTCTGTGTCTTTTGACTGGGGAGTTCAGTCCATTAATGTTTAAAGTTATTAATGAAAGATGAGTATTGAATCCTGTCTTTTTTTTGTTTATATTCTTGCTATAGTTGTACTTTTACACTGTTAAGTCCATTTGATATATGATTTTGTTTAATTCAGATGTCTCTCTGTTAAGTCTCTGGCCTGTTATAGAAGTATTATAACCAGGAAATAAGGGAGGAATTAGAATAATCAAATTCTGCATATCCCCAAATATTTATATATATTGAACATCAGTATCTGCTAAGAACATAAGAACAGAGAGAGACAGGCATAAAAGCTGTATCTATTCTAGATGAAGTAGCACACATAAAATATGATTTCTTCCAATCAAATCTGAATCTGAACCTGAATAAGCCTCTAAACAAGGATTTCTCAGTCTCAAGTTGGGCCCGATGAGTCTTTGTTCTGAACAAGGCATCCTGAACATTGTATGCTGTTGAACAAAATCCTCAGTCTGACTCTAACCACTAGATATGTAAAGTACCCATGCCTTCCTCCAGATGGGAAAACAAAACATTTTAAGCACTGCCAAATGTCTCACAGTGGATACCAACATATATTAATAGGGACTGGATTTTTCCCCACATTTTCAATAAAATTTGAAAAAATTATAATATATTTAATCATAAATTCAGAAAATATGTGTGTATGTAGGTAAAAATTGAAATCATAATTCTGGTGAAAATAATGATAATAAGAAATCTTATACCTAGTATAGATAAAGCAACAACAAAAAACAACTGGACAGTGTTCAGTGGAAGAAAACTAACATGTAAATGACTTAGCATCTCAAGGAAAAAAGAAAAAGTACATTTGAAAAAGGAAATTATTAAAAACAAAACCTAAAAATGACTAGCTGAAAAACAAAGTCAATTGAATAAATAAAACAAAAGGCTGATTATATAAAATGTATCAATTAATTACTAAAAGAGAATTCTAAAACAAAAATTTAAAAGCAACTCACCCAGAAATTGTGGTCTACCAGTTAAATTCAAATAATATTTTCACTATTGTTGTTTTAAAAGAGGGTAACAATCTTTCCAAAACGATTTATAAAAGTTGTTCCCATAATTCAGAATTTTGTAGATAAAAAGAGTAAAACATAATCAAGTGCATTACATAAAGTAATGTACAAAAAAGAAAGGCTATATTCATTTATATATAAAATAATCATTATATATCTATTATATAATCAAAATAGTCATTCAGGACAAAATTTTGCAGCATACTAAGATAGGAAAGGATGTAATTTGACAGAGTATATTTTAAAACAATGTACACACTCTACTTAAGAAGTCCATGATCATTATTATGAGTCAACACTCAGAGAGAGATCAAACATACTGAAGATTAATTTGGACAAATGGAGGGCTGGGGAGAGAGAAAACGCAACAAAGTGCTTATCTGTTGTGCAAGCATGAGGAACCAAGGTGGAGCCTCAAGAGCACACATAAAAATGCCAAGCATATAGCACACAAATGAAATCTCAACATGAGGGAGCCTAAGGTAAAAGGATCACTAGGAATCAGTGGCCAACCAGTCTAGCTAATTAATAAGCACCAAGCCAATGAATAATTCTGTCTCGAAGTAGGTAGACTATATTTACATGAAATATTACAAAAATTTTTGGCAGATTCTTAAAAAGTTGAACATAACCTTAAAATACAACCCATTAATTTATTATTTTTAATGGGTGTGGTTTTTTTTTTTTCAAAATAAAGTCTCAGTGTGAATACCAGGCTGGCCTCAAACTGGCTATCTTCCTGCCTCAGTCTTCCTGGGATAACTGGTATGTGCTATCACACCAGGCTCAACCCACCAATTTTATTTCTAGTAATATGCCCAATGAAAATGAGAATATTTGTCTAGACAAAGATTATATAAATGTTCACAATACCATGTTTATTAATAGTGGAAGTTTATAAATAATCCAATACCTACTAAATTATGAATGTACAAAAAGTACTATATTCACATAATTTTATATCATTTATTTACTGATAAAAATAAATTTATTATATGAAGAAGTACAATAGAAACTGTTTAGGTGTCTAAATTGATATAGAAAAAAAATCATTGAAAGAAAGAAATACTTCTTCGTAAATCAAATGCTCAGAAAAGTAAGACTAAAAGAAAATTTCCTCAACATGATAAAGTCAGCTATGGAAGACAAGACTGCATAGCTTCATGTTTACAACATCATTTCAACAGTATGAAAAGGGCACAGCTACTACAATAAAACAAGAAGAAATTTAAAGGGCTTTGAACTGCAAAGGGAGAACTCACACCTGTACTGCTTGCAGATGACATAAATGACTATGGGAAAATTCTGACAGAATTCAATAAAAGTGTGATAGAATTTTGTATGGAATGCAAAATCAACATAAAATTATAATACCACAAATAATCAGAAGTGAAATGCTTGAAATATTATTAAAAATAATATCAGACTATAAAATACATAGGGGTAAATCTGATAAAAACATAAAAGACCTATATAATGAAAACTACAAAATGTTGCTAACATAAATAAAAGAATAGGATGGGAAGGAAGGAAGGAAGGAAGGAAGGAAGGAAGGAAGGAAATGATATGCTATTTCCATGAATAAAAAGCTTCACTGTAGTTAAAAGGCCCATTTCCCTAAATTCACCTATATATTCAGCACAATTCCAATCTAAAATCTGACAGGTATTTTTAATAGATATTTCTCAAAATAGCAAATTTATAAAGAGAAGTTGATTAAATTAAAAAGTTCTTGAGAAAAATTACTTTTAAAAGGAATGAGACATCATAAACTAGGAAAGAATGTTTAACAATCATATATGTGACAGATAATTTTACAAAGAACAAAACAACCTTTAAAACTTAATACCATGTAGATGAGCATAGTGACACACACATTTAATCTCAAAACATAGGAGACAGAGGCAAGTGTACCTCTGTGACATAGAGGCCAGCCTGGTCTACATAGCGATGTCCAGGACACCTGAGACTGTCTTTTTAAAAAGACAGGGAGACTCTGTCTTAAAACAACAACAACAACAAAAATACCATGAAAATAAATCATTAAGTAAAAGTGATCAATGGATTTGATGAGAAATGTCATCAAGTAAAATGCATATGGCATTTAACATGTTAAAAGATGTTAGATATCTATTTATTAATGAAATGTAAATTAAAATAATGGTTGGATAGCATCACAAACCTCTTACAATACTAAAACTTAAAAAGTTACCTATAAAAGAATGTTGAGAGGCCTAGACAACTGAAATTCTCAATCACTGAGGGTGGGGATGTAAAATGAAACAACCACCGGGAACTAATTCATCTGTTCATAATAAAGTTAAAACATGAGCATTACCAAATGAAAGTTGATAGAAAAATAAGTGTAAATTTTGGTAATGATAAAAATTTCCACTTACAAAAAAAGAAAAACCTACCATAAATTTCTATTTCTTCAAAAACTGACTTTATTTAAAAAATACATCAAACCCTAAATTTTGTTCCATGTTCAGAGTATCTATTGCTATTATTCTATGAAGAATAGGAAAAAAATACCAAGCACAGTTAAAAGAATACAGCAAATACATATTACCTTCCTTTGTAATCAATATACAGTTATGTTAAAAGATACAAGGAATTTAAATTATAAAATAGAAATGAAAACTATACTTATGGCTTATCTGGAGTTAATAATATGAACCAGTTATTTAAAATGAAAACATACAAATACTTACAATAACATGTTCCCCTAAGTGGATTACCAACATAGCGATTTTCAGAATCACATCTGTAAAAACACAAAAACTCATTTACAATTAAATAATGTAATTTTCTTAAAAGCTAAACCATAAACCAAAATTTAAAAAATAATCCTTGAAAATAATTGATTATAGAAGTCTGTAAATGAGCATGAATGAGTAGAAAATATATATGAAAATAATACAACATACCAGAAACATAGGATAAAGTTAAAAGCTTTATGATATTTATCACTCTATTAATAAAGAATTTCTTCATGGTCTAACTAAACTCATCAAGTTGTTTAAGGTCAAAGACAAATTGAGAACATTCATAAATTGACTTTTTCCTTTGGTAGTATTATTTGAAATTAATATATTTTCCCCAATTTTTACACAAATGAAACTTTATTTCTTAAAAAGATCTTCTAAAAAGGCTAAACACATAGCTCAGCAGTTAAAGAGTATTGTCTGCTTCTGTAAAGGACCTAGGTCAGATCTCAGCACCCATATAATGGCTAAAAACTATCTCTAACTCCAGTTTCAGGGGATCTGACAGCATCATCTGGCCTCTACAGGCATTGCATACATGGGTACACTTATATACATGCAGGAAAAACACTCATAAAATATAAAATAATTTTAAAAATTAAAATAAAATCCTCCTCAGGATATACCTATCACTGGTCTCTAGTGTCCACATGCACATTTGTACATGAATGATCACACACACACACACACACACACACACACACACACACACACGTACACAGGCATACACCACATATACTTACACATACACACAGAGCCTCAGGTATGTTTGGAAAACCTTTCTCTCTTAAACCGAACTATTCAAACAAAATAAACTAAGATGAACTAAATTCCAGAGCTCAAACTTGTTCATGTAAGATTACTAAAAATTGGTGTATGAGCATTTAAATACATGAATTCTAAGTAAATTACCTAAAAAACAGTTACCTATAGCAGGGGAGAGAAATGGGATTGTTTTCAAAATTTCATGAATTTGCGTTTTTCATTTCTCATTTCCAGAATGATACTATTAGTGCCAGACAGACATATACCTTAGATGTGCATTATGCTATTTCTTAGACTATCATTTCAAAATAAATTTTATAAAATATATGTGGCAGAGTAACAGAATACAAAGGCTCAATATTTAAACTAAATTAATTTTAGAGATACATTTGAAAGGACTTTTTATAGGAGTGTTCATTTAAGCAGAAAGATGTTATTATTTATATATTTTAATTAAGAAAGAATCAGAACAAGGCATGGAGGCTCATACCTTTAATCCCAGCACAAGGGAGGCAAAGGAAGAAACAGATCTAAATTCAACAAAGGAAGGCTTGAGTCTCACAAAGAATCAGAAACTCAAAAAGAAATTCACATGTCAAATTCACAGAGAAAAATTAGTAACATGAAAAACCAAAATAATATATTGCCACCAAGTACAAATAGTCCTCTACAGGAGTACAATGAGAACCCCCTAGAGATAACACAAGACATGGAACTCAAGAGAACAATTACAAACATGATAAAAGAATTAAGTGAATGTAAAGAACACATAAATAAATCAAATTACTGAAGAAAGATAGGGACAAACTTCTAAATGAATTCAGAAAAGAGTTAGAAATACTGAAGAATACTTGGGCTGAAATGAAGAAGGAAGTGAAACTCAGTAAGCTAATTAGAAATGACAGGAGACAGCCTTAACAATAGGATGAATGAAATGGAAAACAGGATATCAAGACTGGAAGACAAAGTGGATGAACTAGACCACTCAAGCAAAGATTATGAAAAATGTAACAAAACACAAGAATGGAATATGCAGGAACTGTGTGACACTATAAAAAGACCAAACTTACAAATCATAGGCATACAGGAAGGAGAAGAATCTCAGGATAATGGTATGGATCAGATCATCCACAAGATTATAGAAGAAAATTTTCCCAAATTAAAGAAAGACATACCCATACAAATACAAGAAGCATATAAAACACCAAATAGACCAGAAAAGAAACCCCACGGCACATCACAGTAAAAACACTAAACATACAGAACAAAGAGAAAATACTGAAAGCTGCAAAAGAAAAGCAAGTCACATATAAATGAAAACCCATCAGAATTACAGCTGACGTTTCAGTGCAAACTATGAAAGCCAGAAGAGCCTAGACCAAAGTATTCCCAGTTCGAAATGACCACAGATACCAACCCAGATTACTTTACCCAGCCAAAATGTCTATTACAGTGGAAGGGGAAAGAAAAAATCTTCTATGACATAAATACGCTGAAAGAATTCATGTTCATAAAACCAGCCCTTCAGAGAGTTCTTGAAGCAACGCAAAGAACTGAAGAAAGGAAAAACTATACCCAAGGGGTTACGGAAAGAAATTCAATGAAGGTATAACTATGGAAATACACCGCTATATAAAGAATGTGAACAAAAAAAAAAAATCACAGGGTCCAATATACATCTTTCATTAATAACTTTAAATACCAATGGACTGAACTCCCTAGTCAAAAGACACAGACTAGCTGAATAGATTAAGAAACAAAACCCATCTATTTGTTGTCTGCAAGAAATGAATCTCACTTTAAGGACAAGCACTACCTTAAGGTGAAAGGATGGAAAAAAATATACCAAGCAAATGGTACTAAGAAAAAAAGAAAGTGTTGCAATTCTAATATCTGACAAAATAGACTTTAAACTAAAACTAATCAGAAGAAATAAAGAGGGCCACGTCATTCTGATCAAAGGAATAATAAACAAAGAAGATCTTACAATCATGAACATATATGCACCAAACTTCATAAAAACAATACTACAGGACTTTGAGACCCAGATTAATCCCAACTCATTAATAGTAGGGAACTTCAATACCCCATTGTCTCCATTAGATAGGTCAACAGCACAGAGAATTAACAGAGAGACATCTTAAATAAACAATAACATATATCAAAAAGACCTAAAAGGCATCTCCAGAATATTCCACCCAAGCATCTAAGAATATACTTTCTATTCAGTACCCCATGGAACGTTCTCCAAAATCGACCATATACTGGGGCAAAAAACAAACTTCAACAAATACAAGAAGATTGAAATAATTCCATGCATTCTATCAGATTACAATGCAATAAAGCTTAAAATCAACACTGAAGAAACCCTAGTAACCACACGAACACAGGGAGATTAAACAACACATTCCTGAATGATGAATGGGTCAAGAGAAATTAAGAAAGAAATAAAAGTATTCCTGAACTAAATGAAAAGGACAATACAACACAACAAAATCTCTGGGACATGTTGAAAGCAGTCATTAGAGGGAAGTTTATAGCTCTAAGTGCCTATATTAAAACATCGAAAAGAACTCAAAACAATGATTTAACATTGCAACTCAAGACACTTGAAAAGTAACAACAAATGAAACCCAAACCAAGCAGACAAGAAGAAATAACAAAAATCAGGACTGGAGAAATGGCTCAGTGGT